GAAGGGATCCGCGACGAAACCCCCCTCGGGCCCTGCGAAGACCACGAGCGACTCAGGTTGGCCCCCCTGCGTTTTGGCCATGGCGCGGGCGCCCCCCCCCCATTCTGCGGGGAATCCGAAACAAACTCCCCGAAATTACCCCTAAACTCCGTCAGCTCCGTAGCGTTGAAGGCCTGGCAAGCCCGACCCAGGACGCCCCCCCTCGGCCCACGCGCCCGAGTCGGAGCCCCCCGCCCCCCCCCCCCAAAAAAAAAACAAAAAATACGCCCAAAAGACAAGGGCCCTCTGGAGGTCAGATCCGAGAAGTCAACCTGGATCTGGACCCTGCGAACAGCACCCTGCAATCGTCGAAATTGGCCGCACAGCTTTGGACCTTCAAGATCCTTTTATGTGATCTCGCTCCTCGGCGCGCACAGAGAGGGAGCAGCGACCCGGGCCGCGACCACCGCGGCGCGCCCGAGCCGGGGCGCGGGTGGCAAGAGAGGCTTCCAATAGAAAGTGGGCACGAGCCCCGTCTGGCACTCGGCGTCGCCGCGCGCAGCGTCGCGCGGCTGAGCCCCAACTGCCGCGCACAGAACTGGAAATGAAGATTTGAGCTCATCGTGGCGGCGGCCAGAACAAGTTGGAAACTGCGCGCGCTGATCCCCCCCGACTTCAAGATGAGCACTAGCATGATACTCATCCCAGGGCCTGGCGGGTCCGATGGGGCGCGGGCTTCTCAAGAGCCCAGATCTGCTCTATGAGCACGTCAGCCTCGAGCTCCCGGGACAAACCTACGCGGGGACTCCAGGGGGGGGGCCGACGCCCCCCGCGGTCCTAATACTGCCGCAAATACGGAGGTCGATGATCACATAATCAATCATGGTTTTGGCCCCTGCATTCGCGCATGCGGCATGGAGCGTTATCAGGACTCCCTTGATGTATCCCAGGAAATTGGACCTTTGATGCGCGTTGGGTGCATGCTGAAATCGCCTCCTATAATGAACGACATGCGCATCTTCCTAAGGAACATGATCCCCCTGATGATTTCGACGCTGACCCCTTTGTACTCGATGGAGCCCCAGAGGTAAGCCCCGATAGCGAGGATACCTCGTTGATGGAGGCTGAGAGCAAAATTAGCCCATCGGGCCCCACGCAGAGTCGGCGTTGGTTTGCCCTTGGCCCCCACATTTCTAGCGCGAGTGCGACACTTCGGTTGGGCAGCAGGGAGAACGCCCCCATGGGTGCCCCCTGCCGGTGTAGGAACTGTTGGACATGCATATGTACTCCAAGAGTGCCTCCGAAATTTCTGCCGCATGGGTCTCAAGCCCCCCGCTGACTCATGGATCTCAGTCAACAGAAAGAACCGTCAGCAACCTTATTGCGTAGGAAACCCCGGGCAGCCTTATCACACCAGGTGGTGGCGTTGGCGAGGCAGGTGCCGATGCTACCCTCGCCGCTGCGGCAGATCTGGACTGCCCGCAAGCGCCTGCGTTCCAGCGGCTTTCGGCCCCCAGCAACTACCTGCCACCCTGGCCCACCGATTGGCACACCCTGTCCACCCAGGCAGCGGGGGCCTCTCGCTGAGCCACAGCTTGCTGGTCGGCAGCGCGCTGCCCCTCCGCCCCACCGCGCAACGCTCGGCGCGGCCTGCCGACGCCGGCGCGGCCCCGGCGCTGCCGCCCCGCATGCGGGGTTGCCTGCAGGCGGGGCGCCCTCCTCTATGTTCGCTTCTTCCCCCTCCCCCGCTCGCTCTCCCTCCCTCCGCGCGCCGCGATGGCGCTGGGCTGCCGCCTGCGGCCGCCACGCAGGGGACCCAGGCCCAGTCTGGCCGTCCGCCACCCCACGCTGGCCCATCATTTTGGTGGACGCACTCCACCCTTCCCGCACCTCCACTTGCAACACTTTCCGCGCACCCACCTGGGCGACGCGCGGCCGGCCAGCACTGCGCCTCGTGCTCCTCGGCGGCTTCGTGACGTTTGACTTGCAGCACCCGTGCTGACACCCGCACAGGGCCCCGCCGCTGGAACCCCGGCGCAGCAGCCGCCTCAGTCCCCGCTAGCGAGGCTGGCCGCGCCAGCTCACCCAAGGAGCGACCCGCCCCCCCTGAGTAGCCCTCGTTTGTCCCCCTCCCCGCGGCCGCCCGCTCCGTCCCTCCTCCCTCCTCTTGCATGCTGGCCAATTCGCTACAACGGTGCCTCCGTTTAGTTAGCTTCTTCCGCCATTGAAGACAACCCCTGCCTAGCCGCCGACGCAAAAGTGTTCGCGCGGCTCCTTGCGCTGCAACACGTGCCTGGGCGGCCACCTTGGCTGCGTCGAGGGCGCCTGCATCGCCAGGCTGTGCAGGGCCAGGCTGGGCTGGAGGCTGCTGCTGCGGCTGAGGTTGCTGCGGCTGGGCCTGCTGCGGGGGAGCTGGGGCAGCCCTCCTGGCCCGTTTCTTGGCCTTGGCCTCGACTTTGACCAGGAGCCTCGCGAGCTTTGGTTGTCCAACGCCGCGTTGCGCAGGACCTCGAAGCCATCGTCGTCAGGGTCGCCAATGTCACTGGCGTCGGTGGCTTCACTGGTGTCGTCCCAGTCATCGGCGCGAGCAGACTGCGGGCGAACTCCCCCGACCAAAGCGGCGTAGGCACGACTGGCGGCGGCGGCGGCGGCGGCGGCTACCTCCTCAGCCCGTTCGAAAGCCTGGCTGGCTGCCTGTTGGGCTGCCACTGTACCTTGTAGCTTTTCACGAAAGTGAAGCACACGCCGGTCGGTCTCGTCCTTGTGCTTCCAAGCCCTCTCCACCGTGTGCTGCCGCAGGGTGAAGGCGTCGAAGAAATTCTTGACGGGAGGAGGTCCACGTCCGCGTTGGACCATCACGTCCATGACATTTGTCAACTTTCCCCTGAGTGGCACCCTGCTTCCCGAGAAGGGCGAGGATCTCGTCAAGCGCGTACTTATACTGAGTATCGTCTGGTACATCAGCACGACCATGGCCAAACATTTCCCCGCCGACGCACAACGGGTCCGCATTGAGGTGGTCGATCCACTTCCGCCTGGAGCACTCCTCGCAGACGAAGTACTCTCTGCTCTTGTGCTGCTTGGCCGAGGTTCCCTGCCACCCCTTGGCCCCGGTCCAACGCCTCTGCCCCGACACGGGTGCGAGAGAAACGGAGGGCCGATGCCCTCGGCCGTGTCAGGCGCTGAAAGCAACGTGTGGGCGGCCCGCCATTGGGCCTGCCACTCGGCTGGAGCCAACACGGCTACGGCTCCTCCCCCTCCTCCTTCTCCTCCTCCTCCTCCTCCTACTCCTCCTCCGCCTCCCCCTCGACCCTCCTCATCGTCCTCGCGAGCATCATCCGCGCTCCTCCCTCTCCCCCTGCGTTCCTGATTGATCATCACCCTCGCTGTCCCTCAATGTCTGCCTCTCTGCCTTTATGTATTTATATATATGTGTGTGTGCATATGTCCCTCTCTCTCTCTCTCTCGCTCTCCCTCTCTCTCTCTCTTTCTCTCTCTCTCTCTCTCTCTCTCTCTCTCTCTCTCTCTCCATATATGTATATATCTTCTCTCTCTCTCTCTCTCTCTCTCTCTCTCTCTTCTCTCTCTCTCTCTCTCTCTCTCTCTCTCTCTCTCTCTCTCTCTCTTTCTCTATATATATATCTCTCTCTATATATATATATATATCCCTCTCTATCTCTCTCGCTCTCACTCTCTCGTTATTGATATGGTTATGTGGATGTGTTGTGTTTCTCTCTCTCTCGCTATATGATATCTCGAATCCCATGCAGATACGAGCATGTACATGCACACCGTCATTCATATATATCTATAAATATCTATATATATATATATATATAAAAAAAATATGCACATCTACATATATGCGTACATAGTGATATATGGTCGTCTGTAAACATACGCACGTACATACAATAAACGTGCATATGTACGTGCATACCTGCATAGATGTATATATATATGTGATATCACACATGCGTGCGTGCGTGCGTGCGCGAATGCGTGCATACATAGGTGGATGTACGTACATACCGACATACCGATGTATACATGTGTACATGACTACATACATGCGTACATATATACATGCATGCATACATGCATACATGCATGCATGCAAACGTACATGCATACATAGATATGGACATACATACATACATACATACACACATAGTTATGCATACAGACGTATATGCACTCAGACATACCTACGTATGCGTATATTCATGTGTGCGTACACGCATACACACGTGCATAGATGCATGCATACAGTGGTACATGCATACATGGTTGCATGCGTACATACATACATACATGCATACACGCATGCACACATGCGAGAATGCATGCATGCGTGCATGTATACATCTGTACAAAATACAAATGTACGGACATGAACACGTACATATGTATCCATATACATACATGCACACCTTCATACAAGCATACATACTTACGTACATATACATACACACATACGTACGTGCATGCATGCAGGCATGCCGACATGCATACATGCATACATCGTCCATGCATGCGTATATGCATACATACATACTTACAGACATGCATGCATGTATGCGTAGTTGCCTACATATTCATATGTATATAGAACTACAGACATATTCATATATGAGTCCATACGTATATATATGCATGCATGCCTACATACCTGAATGCATGCATGCATGCATATATACATATAGACATACATACATACATGCACCCGTGCAAACATGCGTACTGACATACACATATACGCATGCACACACACACATGTATACATACACATGGCTTGTATACATGCATGCATCCATGCATGTCTATATATATATATATACAAATGTCCGGATGTGAATAAGTGTACATGCCAATGTGCACGCATACACATATCATCCAGGTCAGGCCAACTATCCGGGAGAGGCCCTTCCTGGTCCCAGCCTCAGAATGGGCCTGGTCAGGATCGGTGCGTGTGGATGGCTGGCGCCCCCCGACGGCGGTGTTCTTTCACGGGACTCGTCCTTCCGGTGGAAGATCCCGGCCGCGAGCGCCGCGTCCGCTCCGCCCGCCCGCTCCGTGCTGCCCGGTTTCCCCAGCGCCTCTGGTCACGAGGGGAAGGGGAAGAATCAGAGAAGGGGGAAGAGTACAATGATTTGTCCCAACAATCCTGTGTTGGGTCCTTGCTTTGAAAATTAGCCTGGCGAAGGACCCAACCATATGCAGTTGTGAGTAATGCTGGTGTGAGTACCGTCTTCGGTGGATCTCCCTATGGGGCCACGAACCGTTTGAGGGGTGTGCCGAAATGGGTGTGGGGGCGGCATGCGAACGTTGCCACTGGGGCCTTCGGTGGAGCTCCTTATGGGGCCACGAAACGTGTGAGGGGTGCACCGAAGTTGGTGTGGGGGCGGCATGCGAACGCAGCCACTGGGGCCTTCGGTGGAGCTCCCTGTGGGGCCACGAAACGTGTGAGGGGTGTGCCGAAATTGGTGTGGGGGCGGCATGCGAACGCAGCCACTGGGGCCTTCGGTGGAGCTCCCTATGGTGCCACGAAACGTGTGAGGGGTGTGCCGAAATGGGTGTGGGGGCGCATGCGAACCCAGTCACTGGGGCCTTCAGTGGAAATCCCCATGGGGCCACGAAACGTGTGAGGGATGTGCCGAAATGGGTGTTGGGGAGGCATACGAACCAGGCCACTGGGGCCTTCGGTGGAGCTCCCTATGGGGCCACGAAACGTGTGAGGGGTGTGCCGAAATGGGTGGTGGGGAGGCATGCGAACCCTGCCACTGGGGCCTTCGGTGGAGCTCCCTATGGGGCCACGAAACGTGTGAGGGGTGTGCCGAAATGGGTGGTGGGGAGGCATGCGAACCCTGCCACTGGGGCCTTCGGTGGAGCTCCCTATGGGGCCACGAAACGTGTGAGGGGTGTGCCGAAATGGGTGGTGGGGAGGCATGCGAACCCTGCCACTGGGGCCTTCGGTGGAGCTCCCTATGGGGCCACGAAACGTGTGAGGGGTGTGCCGAAATGGGTGGTGGGGAGGCATGCGAACCTGCCACTGGGGCCTTCGGTGGAGCTCCCTATGGGGCCACGAAACGTGGAGGGGTGTGCCGAAATGGGTGGTGGGGGCATGCCTGCCACTGGGGCCTTCGGTGGAGCTCCCTAGGGCCACGAAACGTGTGAGGGGTGTGCCGAAATGGGTGGTGGGGAGGCATGCGAACCCTGCCACTGGGGCCTTCGGTGGAGCTCCCTATGGGGCCACGAAACGTGTGAGGGGTGTGCCGAAATGGGTGGTGGGGAGGCATGCGAACCCTGCCACTGGGGCCTTCGGTGGAGCTCCCTATGGGGCCACGAAACGTGTGAGGGGTGTGCCGAAATGGGTGGTGGGGAGGCATGCGAACGCTGCCACTGGGGCCTTCGGTGGAGCTCCCTATGGGGCCACGAAACGTGTGAGGGGTGTGCCGAAATGATGATGATGATGATGATGATGATGATGATGATGATGATGATGATGATGATGATGATGATGATGATGATGATGATGATGATGATGGGAGGAGGGAGGGGGGGGGAGGAGGAGGAGGTGAGGAACGCGGGGCGCCGTCTCTTCAAAACGAGGACCCAACACCACAGGACGGTTGGGAAAAAGACAAAGCCCGGCGTCCTCCTCCTCTCCTCCTCCCCCCATCCCTCCTCTGCCCTCTGCCTTCGGCACACCCCTCACATATTTCGTGGCCCTATAGGAAGCTCAAACTAAGGCCCGAAATGTTAGGGCCCGCATGGCCCCGCGCCCTCATTTCGGCACACACGCTTCCTGGCCCGATAGGGAGCTTCAGCTAAGGCACAAATTGCAGGGTCCGCATGGCCCCGCCACCCCGTGTCGGCACACCCCTCACACGCTTCGTGGCCCTACAAGGAATTCCCGCTCGGGCCCCCATGCTGGGGTCCGCATGGCCCCGCCACATCATGTCGACACACCCCTTAAACGCTTCGAGGCCCGATGGGGAGATCCTGCTCAGGCCGAAGGGCAAGAGTCCGCATGGCCTCGCCGCCTATTTCGGCACACCCCTGACACGTTTCGTGGCCCCATACGGAGCTCCAACCAAAGCCCAAATGCCAGGGTTCGCATGGCCTCGCCGCATCATGTCGGCACACCCCTCACACGCTTCGTAGCCCCATAGTAGCCCCATAGGGAGCTCCAACCAAGGCCCAAATGTGAAGGTCCGCATGGCCCCGCCGCTTAATCTCGGCACACCGTTCACACGCTTCGCGGCACCATAGAGAGCTCAACTAAGGCCCAAAAACAAGGGTCGGCATGGCCTCGCCGCCTCATTATGGCACACCCCTTAAACGCTTCATGGTCCCATCTGGGGCTCGGGTGAGTGGCGGCCAGGCGGGCAGGAATGCAACGCGCAAAAGAGGGGAGAAAGAGCTGGGAAGGAAATGGGCGCGAAACAGCGGCGCACGGGGCTCTAGCCAAACCATGGAGACCCCCCGCACGCCCACACCAGCATACCCCCCTCATCCACGCAAGCCACAGTCCTCTTGTTGGCCCCATCGCTCATCCCACCTGCCTCGCGATACTTGCAGCTGCATATGGTTGGGTCCTTCGCCAAAAACTTCTCCCACGCAATTCACCGAACACCGTCCTGGACGCCAGGAGTCCTGAAGGCTCCTAGAAGCAGCTCAAACTCACCCACATGCACACAGTGTATAAGGAAAACAAGCAACAAGAGAGAGGGAGGAGAGCGAGAGAGAGAGAGAGAGAGTCACATGCAAAGGAGGGGGGAACGAGACGAGGGGGGGATCAATGCGAAACACCATGCAATGCTTCGGTCAAGAAATCGTCAGCTCGGCACCCTGCAGTACGAAATATATGTGTCTTGGAGTCATTGCGCCTGGGCCGCAGAGAGGAGGCCAGAAAGCGGCTCAAAAACTTGAATGGCCATTGCCGCGGACGCAACGCCAATGAGGGAGGAGCAGGAGGAGGACGAGGAGAAGGGAACAGGTGAGTCACCACTGCAAGCCGCGAGCCGAACTGCAAGCTGTTCAGGCCCAGATTCACTTACACAGTTTCGACTCCAGGAGCGCTGGAGCAAGCGAAAGTATCCACGGTACTGGCCCTACTTGCCAGCGCAGGCCCAGAGTTGCGGCCACGCTCGCAGGACAGAGGCGCGCGCCAGCCGCGGCGATCTAGACGGTCGCCGCCAGACGGGCCAGGAGGCGTGGGCAAGCAGCGTGGTGGCCAAGAAAACGCCCCGTAGATAAGCGTGGAATTGCATGCCGGTCACTCCGTTAAAGGATGGTGCGATTCATCTTCTCCGAGCAGCGCATGCCACCGAAAACATGCAATAGCCCCAGCCCCTGGCACAGCGAGAAAGAGAGGCGCATTCCACCATTCCAGAACAAGGCCCAGCTCAAGGGCAACATCATTATGATCACCAAAATGCCATAACAAGGCCCAACTCAGGGGCAACAGCATACTGACCACCACCATTCCAGGGGGAAGAATAGAAGGAAGAGGGGGAGGAAGAGAAGCGAACGACGCCGATGGAGTAGAGGAGGAGGAGGAGGAGGAGGAGGAGACAGAAGCAGGCAGAAAAGAGAAAGGCGGAGCCGGCATGCCGATGGAGACAAAGAAGGGGGAGAAGGATGCGGAGGAGGAAGGAGAAGAAGAGGGGAAGAAGAAGAGGACAACAACAACGACGACGACGACGACGACGACGAGCAGCAGGAGCCCTGCACCGCCCGGTGCCCCCTGCGCCTCCGCGAAGTGCTCCACGGCGCCGGCGCCGCTCGAGGCGATGACCGGGATGGAGCAGGCCCCTTTGACCTGGGAGCGCGGTGGGGGGCAGGGGATGGCTCAATGGGGCCCAAGGACACACGAATAGATGCACACAGATGACGGGATTCCCCATATGTTGCCATGTTTCCTCGGTTTTTGTCTCCCCCTCCACCTCCCAGATGTTCCAATATGATCGGGGGAGTCGACGATGAATTGTGTCGGTGTGTGTTCTTCCCTCCTGATGGATGTGGGGAGGGACGCGTCTTTGCTCCCGAAGCGACGCCAAGCGGAGCAGGGCCAGGGGGCGGATGGGAAGATGAGAGGGGGGAGGGAGGAGAAGCGGGAGAAGGGGAGGGGAAGGGAGGGGATAGGAGGGGAGGAAGGAAAGAGCTGTCATGAGGGAAACGGGTGTTGGTGGAAACGGGTCCTGTACCACAAGGTACTCCCCAGGACCAACTCTTCGCCCCGAGTCATTCTTGAAAGCCCTGGGGCCTGGAAAGCCCCGTGGGGCCTGGAAAGCCCCGTGAGGCCGAAAACTGTAAAAACAATGCAGGGGCCCTTTCCTACAGGATCACTCTTCAATGCAAAACGATGGAGGCGGGCAGGCGGACGACCTGCCGGATGAGGTCCAGCTCGTATCCGCTGTTCTGGCCATCGCGGTCAATGCAGTTCAGCAGGATCTCGCCCGCTCCCAGCGCGTCTACGGCCTGGGCGAGCTGGATCACGTCGATATCGCTGTTCTCCCGGCCACCCTTCAAGGTGCTGCCCCTCCTCCTCCTCCTCCTCCTCCCCTCCTCCTTTTCCTCCTCCTCCACCTCCCCTTCCTCTGCCTCTGCCTCCTCGTCCTCCTCCTCCTCCTCCTCATCATCATCATCATTGATCACCATCGTCATCACTGCCATGATCAGCACAACCATCATCATCCTACTCCTGCTCCTCCTCTTGTAACTCACCCAACTCCTACTACTACTACTACTAATAATAATAATAATACGACTACTATTACTACTGCTACTACTACTACTACTACTACTACTACTACTACTACTACTACTACTACTACTACTGCTACTACTACGACTACTACTACTACCACCACTACTACGACGACTACTACTACTACTACTACTACTACTACTACTAATAATAATACTAATAATAAAAATAATAATACTGGCGGTCTCGTGCACCACATCACCACGGCTCAACCACCTTGGGAAGAGCGTCCTTGTGGCTGCCTCATTGCCAGTATGTAGCGGGCACCTCTTCTGGGTGCAAGGGCGGGTCTGACGTGCACGCAGCGGCAGGCGCTTATCCGAGGGCAGCTGGTCCCTACGGCCCAAAGTGAAGCGTCAGCGGCGGCACAGCAGCACACGGGGCGACCCCAGTACCGCCATCGAGGCCAACTAGCGCGGGGAGGCGCGAGAGGAGGCCAGGATGGCAAGCCAAAATGGCAAGGCGCCCAGTGGCGTCGCGGCAGCACACGGGGCGACCCCAGCACCGCCAGCGAGGCTCACGAGCGCAAGTGGGCGTGAGAGGAGGCCAAGATGGCGAGCCCAGATGGCCAGCCAATTGGCAGGCCAGAGTGGCTAGGCGCACAGATGACCGCACGCAGAGCGGAGGCTAAAGCAACAGGTGCTGCGACGCGAGGGGGGTGCCACTGTGGGCACACCGCACCCGCGGGCAAGGCGGCGTTGCTGCAGCTGGGGCGTAAGCAGACCTACCGGTTCAGCACCCCTGAAAGTAGCAGGCACGAAATCTTGGCATGGACAAGTCAAATGTGGACAATTTCATTTAGATCACCTGGGGGGCGGGGCCGCCGGCCCCCCACCAGGTCTAAAGGAAAAGCGGGCCCCCCACCAGGTCTAAAGGCGAGGAGGAAGGGGGGGGTCAGGGAGCGCACGCAAATGGGATGGAGCCACAGCTAATCAAGACCGGACGCTCGGGGCGGCCCCGGCATCCAGCCCGACTACGTCCTCCGTCGCCAGGGCGACCTGCTCAGCGATTTGGCCCTGCAGGGCGCTGGCCACTGCCGAGCGCAGGGACGAGCGCGCCGCGGGCCGTTCGGCCTCGGGCAATTCCCCCACGGCACGGCGCAGCCACGTCTCAGCCTCTGCGCCCCAGCGGCCGTTGACATCGAGAACAAAGGGCACCAGGCCAGAAAATGAGCACCTACGGTGCTTCACTTTCTCTCTGCGCTGCAGGGCTGCCTGACGCGGCCGCCCCGTCTGGGCCACGGCCACCTCGCCCACCAAGCTGATGTCGAGACAAACTCGGCCATGGATGCCTCGATGGTAGACGACGTCCAGTGTGGCCGCGCCCTGTTCTTCCGCGCGCCACTCTGGGATGACCTGCTCCACCAGGGCGCAGTGGCCCACCCCGCGCAACCAGAGCGCCACGGCATCTCGGACGGCGTTGTGGCGGCGCGTCGGGCCACCTCCCCTGGGACAGTTGAGCGCATGAACGCCACGGACGTCCACCGTGCGGCCACACGCCGGGCCGACCTGCGCCATCGCGCGGGCGGGCGCTGCCGGTCGGTTCAGGCACGTGCACTCGGACTGCAGCAGCGGCAGATGCACGCGCCTCTTGGCCGCAATGCAGAACGCGTGGTCGGCGAGGGGCGAGACCCCCATCGAAGTTATCCAACCAGGCGCCCGCTGAGCTGCCCGAGGCACTATGCACCGCCGCCGCCGCCGTCACCGGCAACGCGGCCAAGGACGTCTTGGCGGCGTGGTCCCGCACGTGCTGGGTGCACGTCTTCTGGTCCTTGCCCTTCCGCTCCTCCAGAAGGCCCTGCCAACGGTCACTCTGGGGGCGGCGGCCTCCTGCCAGCCGCCCCTGCTCCTCGTCCGCTGCCGAGAGGGCACGGCCAAGGCCCGGCCACCTCTGAAAGAGGCCGATCGTTGTCGTCTCTCGGAGCTCCTGGGCAGCCGAGTGGATCCCGGCTTCCCAGGACGCCGGGAGGGCAGCGGGGCCGCGCTGTTCGGCACTGCCACAGCCCAGGCCTCCGTCGCTGATCTGCATGAAGATCTGCTCACGGGGGGCGGCCGCGACCCCCAGGAGGGCGTCGACGAAGGCGACCACTCCGTCATCCACCCTGCGGCCCCACGCCGCCGTGAGCGGGAGCTCCCGCTGGATGTGGACGCAGGCGCCCCTCGACCAGATCCGCATCAACTGGAAGGCATCAAAGGCCGAATGCCCACGCCTGCGGAGCGTCAGGAGCTCTCAGAAGTAGCGGTCCTGCTTCTGGAGGAAGGCCTCGCCGCAGGGGAGAGGCGCGGCGGCACCCGGGGCGGCCCCGGCACCGCCAGCCGGCGCGAGGCCCCCCTCATCGAGGTCCTCCGGCACGGCAAAGTCCGTGAGCGGGACGCCCCTCCAGTCGGCGTCCACGTCGTGGTTTGTGCAGGCCAGGGTTGACCCCACCGCCTTGAGCTTCTGGACGCGGTGCCGGGCGTACTCCGCAAACTCCGCCGGCAGGACGGCGTGGGGATCTGGGGACCAGATCTGGGTCTTGGACATATTCAGCTTCACCCCGTGGGCTTCGATGCGGGCTCGCCAGGCATCCAAGCCGCGGAACACGGCGGCCGCGGTACCCACGAAGTACGCGTCGTCCAAGAACGCCAGGCAATCCCCTTCCACGTCCACCGCGCGCACGGCCATGCGACCGATGCTGAGAACATCCGCGGTGCCGACCGCGTAGAAGCCTGGGCCCATCGGGCAGCCCTGGTCGAGGCCACGGATCTGGTCGACCAGCTGGGCGGGCTGGGACCCACCCCCCGCCGCATGGCGCGTGCGAGCAGGGAGCCAGGCCTCCGCCAGCGGCGCCAGAGCCGGCACCTTGGCACGCACGGCCTCCTTCACGAGGTCGCGGGGGATGTTGCTGAACGCATCCCCGAGGTCCACTGCCACCACCCACTTGCCTGGGCTCGAGTTGGCCATCGTACACAGACGTCGGCGGAGGGCACCGCATCCGTCCTTGGCCAGGCCAAACTGCTGGTCCCCCACCGCCGCCCGCATGTCTTTGTGGTGGACCTTGGCGGCACTGCGGCCCACCATACGACGGGTGACATTCCCACAGCCCAGGACTCGCACGTCCCCAGGGGTTGCCTTGGGGATGCCTGCGAGGCGCGCCGCCGTCAAGGCGGCGAGGGCCTCGGGGGGGGGGTCGCCGATGGCCAGGCGCGCCAGCGTGTTGGCCACCGCCTCCGCCCTGTCCTCGTCGTGCTTGAGCGGGGCCCAGTGCTCGTGGCGTCCTCCTCCAGGCCCTGCCCCGCCACGGCGGGGGAAGCGACCAAACTGACGCCTGAGGTGGTTGGCCACGCGGCGGTGGAGCTCTGCCGCACCGTCGAGCTCGCGATGGGGGCGCGGCTGGCGGCATCGCCACATCGGCCCCCGCCACTGTGGACCCCCCCCCTGGCCCATGCGGGGCGGCACCAGTGCCAGGGGGAGGGCCCCACTCGCCTGGGCGAGGCGCCGCAGGCTGCTGGGTGGTGCTGAACTTCCTCACCACCGCCGCTGCATCCGCCACGTCACCCTGGGGCCACACTGCCGCTGCCGCCCGCGGCATCTCGCCAGCTCGTGCCAGCTCGGTGACACGGCGGACGCGGGCCGCGACGTGATCCTCTCGGCCCTTCGCGGTGACCGCGGCGCGCGTCTGGTCCTCCATGGAGAGCCAGGCGACATCCCATTGGCCGTCCTGAATCCACTGCAAACGCTCCTGGAGACGCTCTCGCCGCGTCGACGGAGTCGGGGTCGCACTCACTAACAGAAACCCATACAATGATAAGAACACCTTCCACAGCCGCGTCAGCGTGCGCGACGCCTGATCATCGTTGCCCTGGCGGGCCTGTTCGATCGCCAGGCACAGCCGCACCTTCATGTGGCTGACGGCGGCAACCATACTGTCGGGGACCATGGCCGCGGTGGGCGCGCCCTGTAGCAGGATGCGGCCCCACCCGATGGCACCCCACCAATCCAGATTGACGAAGCCAATCTCGTGGTACGCGTCTTCGTCCGTCACCTGATCGTCCAGGTATTCGTCGTAGACACCTGCTTCGAGTCCCCCATCATCGTCTGCATCCGCAGGAGCGTCGAGTGGCGGCTGCAAGATGTCCGCCGTGGTCGGCGCCGCTGCCTCGGCTGCCACAAGGGGGGCCCCTCGTGAGCCTGGGCCATACGCCCCTGGCGCGGCGGCGGCAGGGAGCCTCGGGGCGGCCCTAGTGCTCCCTGCCGCGCCATCTCCCTGGGAGGGAGGAGTGGGGGCCTGGCCTTCAACCGTTTCCAGCAGGGGCAAGATGGGACCACCTCGGGCCCCCAGGGCTGCCGTGAGGCGTTCCCTGTCGCCCTCGGGGAGCTGCGTGAAGCCCACCATCGCCGTCGCTGGTGGTAGGGGGCCATCGACGCAGGCCATGTGGAACCACTTCTTGCCCGCGTGAGCCTGGGAGCACGGGGGGGCGTCACGGCGCCTGCCACGCGCCATTCGCCCGCCTCGAAGCCTCCCATGCAGCGGGTGCAGTGGGCCTTCTTGCCGCGAGCCGCCTGGGCGCTGACGCACCAGCGAGTGATCCGTCCTCCCGTCATGCGGCGTCGCCGCTGTGCCGGTTGGCCCTCGCTGTCCCGCATGTGGACGTCGGTGCCGCCATCCACTGGGATGTCGACAGCGTTCGCGTCGGCCGACGCGCGTGTAGCAGCGGGGGCGCGCGGGGCGGCCCCGGCACCTCCGCTGCCTCCCGCGGCTGCCAGCGCACCGCCT